TTCAGCTTCTCTTAGCGAATGATCACAACAAATGAGCCAGTAGTTACAACCAGAAGACGCTTTCCTTTCCTGCTCTCCTTTGCTCAGCTGTCTTCCTCCCTGCCCCTACTCATCCCCTCCCCCTTTCCCCTGTTTTCCAGAGCAGTAGACATCTTTTCCTTGATCCGTCTCCAGCCTTTATCTTCACCAAGAAACCCTTCCACTGCGACCTGGTGCTTTGAGGATGCCCACACCGCCCAAGACCCCAAAGTGTCGCAAAGTGGATGGAGGCAGACTAAATCTCACTTGACGTCAGTGGAACCTGGTCGGCTGAAAACCGGGGGGTTCGATAGATGGGGTGGCCTTCACTCCCTGCAGCGGGAGAGGGGACGGCAGAGGAGCGTTCTGCAGCTGGGCCGCTGTTTAAAGGGGGCACGCCTGCTGTGCATCGCTTTACGGGTCTTGATAGCGCGATCCTCTTCTTGTCTCTTCAGAAATGAGAAGCACTGGGTTCACGAGGGCTTACTCCCAAGGTCAGCGGGTGTAGGATTGCAACCGTAATCCTCCTTCCAGCGCTTTAAATTCACTCTCCCTCTTTCTGAATGCGGATTCTTGATGCGGTTGTTTTCATTTTGTTTCAGTTTTTTTTTTTTTTTTTTTTAAGCGTTTGCTTGACTCTGGCTCTGGGGGCTGCCATCCACCAATCACTTATTCCAAAGCACTCAGAGCTTTGAAGGAACTGCCATCCTCGCTCATGCCTCGCAGACGGGCCACTTCCATCAGATAACTCTCCACCAGCTCCACCCATAACATAACATAAACCTGCATCCATAACATAAACCTGCATTTCCTGCATTGACCTTTCAGACATAATAAACTTCCCAAAGGTAAGTTCTTTGAGGATGTGTCTTCAGCAGAGCTGGACTCGATTGCAGACTGCTGTTCCTATCCAGGCAATACGGTATCCCGTTAGCATTCCGAACAAGGGGCTGCTGTTCCTCGATTTGCCTCCAAAGATTTCCTGAAGGAACATGTGGAAGCAATAGCGAGGGCTAAACGTTTGCCGAGCTGAAGATGCGGTAGTGGAAAGAGACCGTGTTAAAGAGCTGCAGGCAATATGAGCCCTGAAAAGGAAGAGGGAGGCGGGCTGGGAATGCTACCAGGGGGTCCTCGACATGGGCATGAAACGCTCGCATTATTTTCGACCCCGTCCTCTGCACCCCACACCCCAACGCACAGGGGGTCGTCCATTTCGAACTGCCCGGTGCCTTTGCTAAGTTAAGTCTGCTTGTTTCAGTGCCGCTTAGCAACGAGTGGACATAAATGTAATGGACGAAGGACAGAGGCAGGAAAAAGCCGTCTCCCCACCATCCTATGTCTGGGATGCACGCCTAGGCCAAAGGCTGGAATGCTTCCCCGCGGCATCCTGCCATGGCGCCCTCTTGGACGGCGATGCCTCCATTCCAACAGGGAATGACCGACGTCCCTTGTCTCACGCCAGCCCCAGGAGCACCAGTTTCCAGAGAGGAGAGCCATGGTCCCAAGGGTGCCGAGCATCACACCCTGGCGCAAGGAAGAAGCTGCCAGCCCGGGGCTGGACCGAACCTGTTTGAACAACAGATAACAAATCTCTGCAGATAAATGGGGAGGAGACGAACGGAAGCAAGACAGAGAGAAAAGACGCAGAGTTGAGTAGCTTATGCACTGGGGTGCTGGGGGAGATGTTTTTGTCCTCTCCACCCTTCTTCTTTCTTCTTCTTTCAATCCCAATGCACGCCTGGAAATGGATACGATCAACGCCCCCTGACTCTCTTTCCTGGAGCTAGACTGCCCCCTTGGTCCCGAAGCTGAACAGCTCCGAAGTTCCAGGCTGCTGCGCGCGCGCGCGCTCTCCGTGCTTCATTTCTTACGAACTAGACAGAAAATAAATAGCGCCTCTCACTCCCACGATCGCGTCTAAATCTGCTTGTCCCGAAGATAGACGCACAAGCGCGCGCAGAAGCTCCCTGCGTGTCGCTCTTGCCCGGGCATCCAACTTTTCTCTGGCCACCATCCTGTGTCAAGACAACCTTCCGATCCTAAACTCCGGTGACACTTCCAGATCTACATCGGGGACTTACTTCGCTTGCCATAATCCGAAAGGCTTTCTCCCCAGATCGGACTCGAACTCCCCATTTAATCTCTTTTTGGAAAGATCTTTCATCTCCTGTTTCCAAAGCAGGCTGTAACGATTGTGACAAAGAAACGGGTCTCCCGCAGGCCAGTTGCCGGATTATCTTTCATTCATAAATATTCTGCAGTAACTCGGGGTCGGCGAGCGTTCCTAGAGTTGCTGAGCAGCGCACAGCCATCCAGCTCGGCCGCCCGCACCGAGGTGCCCCCAGCCCAACGGCAAGCCAGCCAGCGACACGGCAAAGCCCCCCAGCCGTGGCCGTGGCCATCTCCCCCTCTCCATCAACTTCCCCGGCGTGAGTGGACCCGCGTCCCATGCAGCTGACCCCGGGACTGTGCGATGCGGGGGAACTGTGTTCATTCATGACATTCGGGCCATTTGGGAAGGTGAGGAGGGGGATAAATGCGCCCGCGCCAGTGCGAATGACCCCCTCCAGTCCCAGCCCCTGACATATGGTCAACCTCTCCCCACCACCAACACACGCTCTTCCCCGCCCCCGTTCCAGATGAAGTCTGGAATCGTTGCCTCCCCCCTCCCGCCCCACAGCTGCTTACCAACGTAAGAGGCTTGCGGGAGAGCCCCAGACCCGAGTGAAGCGCGGAGCCTCTTATTATGAAGGAGGCCGAGCGCGCGGAGTGGGGGGCTTCATTTCCTGACAGCTATTTACTTGAAGCCAATGATTAGTTTGAGCAGGATGGACTCTAACATTGAATCAATTACAGGACTTGGTTTCTGAGGCCATCACAGAAAGAGAGAGAGGGGGAAAGAGGAGAAGCAAGAATTACAGAAGTCTTGAAAAAATGATGTTACTCGCTTATCTGTTGTAGTGCTAGTCTTGTTACGGATTATTATCACATACACCGGAAGGTAAGGGAAGGGACGGATTTCTTCCTTCTCTCTCTGTCTCTGCGCTGGAAATGTTTCAAAATTGGAGTCAGGATCTGGAAGGGATAAGAAACCACCTGGGAGAGAGGCGGTGATCGGGGCTCGGAGGGAAAAAGAGTTTTGCAACCCAATCCTGTTTCTGTGTGTGCAGAAGTAACTCGTGCGCCGCTTCTCCCACCCAGTTGACTTACTCCCAAGTAAGCGGCCAGGATTGCAGCCCAAGCTTGTAGGACGGTTTGGCATTGGAGAGCAGTTCTCCACAAAGAGCGGGGAATGCCCCCCCCTTTCTTGTCAAGAAGAGGCCACTATCATGAGTAGCAATACTATGAATGTTTGTGTGAACGCGGCAGCCCCGATCATCGGATCAGGCTGCTGGATGAAGAGGATGCGTAGAGAGGTTTCCTGGAGAATTCCGGGGATCGCATAAAAAGCAGCTGGACGGTGATCGAGGAAGCAGTGTGGCTGCAGGCGGAGGAGGCAGCCTGTCCTCCCTGGTCCCCCGGCAGCGGGGAGTCGCCCGGGCGGCGTCGGGGGTCTGCACACCGGGCCGCCTCTCCCCGGGAGGGATCCCGCCGACTCGGGTCTGAAGGGAGGCTGCGGCGCTGTTGGAAAAACGACGCCTGCTTTTTTGGACCGCGCTAATGACAACCAGATTTGGAGGAGCGCGGAGGGGCCACCGCGCTGCATTCCTGCAGCTGGGCTGGGAGGAAGGGCTGGGGGCGGCAGGAGAGGTGGGCTGCTGCAGGAGAGGCGGGGAGAGGAGTCCGCGTGTGCGTGCGTGCGTGTGTGTGTGTGCGCGCGCGCGTGTGTGCGCGCGCCCCCTGCCCCCAATCTGGAGTGAAGCCCCTTGGAGGGAGGGAAGGAGGGAGGGAGGGAGCGTGTGTGTGTTTAAACAGCGGGACAATCTGCAGATGAATCACGGCACAGGAAAGGGCCCGGGGAGCTGGCCAAACACCCTTGGCTTCTCCATCATCCAGTCTGCGCCTTGCAGATGCTGGGAGGCTGGGGACCAGCTACGAGGCTATTGAGCAAGGTAAGGAGGAAATACTTTACTTTAAAACGAAGAGTCTCTCGCTCTCTCTCGCTCTCTCTCTCTCTCGCTCTCTGCCTCCGGTGCAGATTTCTCTCCCCAGCTCCTCCTAGCCGTTGAACTCTTCGATCCCTTTATTCTTGCTTGCCTCTCCTAACCCTCGGATAGTCCCTCCGAATCTGGGTGTTCGCTCAGGTGATGATCCCAAGGCGCTCTTGGATGTCTACCCCCAAACTGGACGTGGAATAAAATGCTCGATGGTGCGACAGGACCGTGAAAAAGTGGCCAGATCCCTACACACATACCCCAGCCCTTTAAGTGCCTGCCTGCCTAGCGCTGCCAAACCAGCCATCAGCCACCCGCTCCCTGAGATGTGTGTCTTTGCGCGCAAGCAGCCCGGCGATGCGAGGAAGGAAGCGGGGCGCAAGGCTGAGGGGTGGTGTAGACGCTGCCCGAGGAAAGCCCGACCGAGCGGCTTGCCTGCCGCTGCCAGCGCAGCCTGGCGAGCGGGGTTGCCTTGGAAAGAAACGTTCTGGGCGGCCGCACCAGGAAATGGCTCTCTCTGCGCTCTGCTCTGTTGCGCAACGTTTTCCTTGGACGGGGACCATCTTCCAGCAGCTGGTGGGCGATCCAAAGCGCTCGCTGGAGCGAAGGGAGACGGGACTGGGACTGGGGAGGCGCGCCTGCCCAGTTCCGTCCCTCCGTCGAGACCGAGGAGGCGGGCTCAGGCTCTGAATTTGCCCCCCTGAGGTTTCTCCGCCTTGTTTTGGGAAGTCTCCGAGGGCGATCGCAGCTCCACGTAGGACCGGCTAGCTCTTGCCAGGGCTGCAGAACTGGGATACACGTCTTGCTTCTCCTGGGATCTTAGGAGCTGGCTCTTCCTACCCTTTTCCCCAAGTTCTGCGGACTTCCCTCCCCGCCTGCCCCCCCCCCCCCAGACTGCGGGTGGGCACACCATCTCTCCACAGCTCGTGAGCGAAGCTTACACAGGGGTCAAGAAACAGCCCTCGACCCCGCGCAGCTAGGATCTCAGCCAAGCCTCCCTTCTGTTTGTCTTGTTAGGATTTGATCCGACAGGGCGCTCCGGGATTAGAACTGCAGTGCCCCGCTCTGCTCTTCTCCGCACCTCCAAACGGGGCATTTTGCTCCGGGATAATGACAGTCGGTGAAATGTGGAGTTTTCCGGAGCTGCAGCTAATCTGAGAACAAGAAAAAGGACAACCCGCCCTCGCCCCCAGCCTTTTTAAAGCTGCCAACTTTACAGATTTCGGATACCTCTGCCTAAGTGGGATTCTTTCGACATCAGATCGCGTGTTGCATGTGTGTTGACGTTACCTTCTTTTTAAGTCTTAAGCTTCTGGTGGTATTTTGCTGGGGAGAACTTTTGGAAGATCTGATTCTCCTGTCCTCAAATCTTAAAGAACTCCGTTACCCGGATTAGCTATTTCCATCGACCAGCGGGGCCTCTCCTACCCCAACATCTATTTCAAGAACTACAACTGCGGAAAGAGCGCCTGCCCTCGGTTGCTGAGAAAACGCAGACACCTCCAGGAATCTAATCCACGCGGAGACAAAGGATCGGGGCTCTCCCTCGGCTCCCCGTCATCCACCTCCTGGATCCACCCCTCCTCAACCCTGGAAGGAATCTTTTAGCTAGGTGATTTGCTAACAAGCTGAATAATCTTGCGAATCCCTCTGCTATCCCAATACCTTGAAGGAATACCGCAACCCTTCTTGGCCAAGAACTGGCCCTCACCCATTCTCAGTGTTTGTTTCCTGAATTAAGCCCAGAGCATCCCGGTGTTTTTTTCACAGGGGAAAAAGTGTGGTGATGGGGAGAGAAAGAGACTTAACATCACGGCTGGATCTCCTGGTTGTCCTCTCCTGTTTCCTTTCTTTGCTTTCGTTTCCTCTTCACTCTGTTTTTTAAGCGGGAGCTTCGAGTGGACCCCTTGGTCTTTCAAAGAACTTGCTCCTCAGACAAGTTAAGCCGCAGCAATGGGTTCGTTGGCTCACTGGTCGATAGGTTTGACCGTCTGACTCCAAGGGCCTTTTCAGATTAAACGACTGCGGCTTAGCAGGTTGTGGATCGTGGTCCATCAACGCGCTACATAAAGTCTTGGTAAACATTTAACGAGTGGGTTTGGTCTGACTTGTGTGAAGGCAAACATTCTCCCAAAGTAAACAGTGTGATAAGGTCCACGAGTCTTTTTACAATGGTCAGTTGTTTGGGCTTGGATGGAGACTAGATCGCACGGTGTACTGTGAGGAGGACTTCGGAGCTGAGCCAGGCTGATAGGCGCTTGGTTTCTGGCTGACCTGGATGTGTTTCTGCAGAATACAAGCAAGTTCACACATGTCTGATCTTGACTTGATTCTGCTTGTTGATGACTTGTAGCTGAACGTGTGAATAGACTGCGAGCTGCAGCTAACTAAAGGCAAGGCACTGGAGATGATGGGACACATTTGTTTGTAGTAGATGGTCCCTGGGGACTCATTCGCAAGTGCAATCCTGACACCTTTTCATGATGGAATGGTTGTGAATTAGCTCTCACGGAACGATTGTTCCAAATTTAGGCCTATTCAGGCCTGAATGATGATCTTGAATTCAGAGGGGGCATGACCGAATTTTCGAAATGTATTTTTGTGGATAACGGGTTGCTCACCTGAGGGACAACTCAGGATTGGTTCCTAAGTGGCTGTTTGCTCTAAGGATCCCTTTTCCTTAGGGCTCTCGTGAATGGAGTGCCTGGAAAGAAATCTTTGTTCATGCACCCGGGGAGAGAATCGGGCACGTCTGAGCGCTACCCTTCACTCCCGAGGACTTGGCGGTGGCGGGGTGGTAAGACAGGCAGAATTTGTCCCCAGAATGAACACTGAAAAACTCTTGCATCTGTCCAGCTAGGACCCCATCAGATGTTGTTGGATTAGCCATTCAATCACCTACGTATGAACTTTATGCCACGCTTTACATTATAAAATCAAAACTGCAAGCCCCATCCTCCGTGACCACTGGCTTTGCAGGCTGGAGAAGATGGGAGTCGTAGTCCAGCAACATCTGGGGACTCCCGAGTGCAGAAAGCTGCGTCTGAGGGCTGGAGAAAGGAAAGAGGACTGCAGCCTTTATGGAGAACGGATCTGAAACAGGAGGATCCATTCCGCACTGCAAGGTTTTGGAAAGGGGGCCGGCCTGCCTTTAAAACAAAGGCGATCCCTTAGTTGGGGGTGGAGGAGCCCGTGGGGCTGGTTCCATTCGGCTGCGAGTGGGCGGGCAGAAACATCTAGGAATACCCCGCTATTGCAATGTTTGCTTTGTTTCGCTTTCCCAGACGAGCCCTGGCGATTACCGTAGAGATGGAAAACAAGCGGTTTTTAAACCGCTTCAAATCGCTGACGAGGACTGTGGGGCCGGTGGAGAGCGCGGTTTCCTCGGCTCCATAATCATAATCATTCTTCCTGTTCTAAAACTGTTGACTCCGCAACTTGTCGTCCTTGCCAGCTCCTCCGGGGGGAGAGCGCTCCGCGCGCGCGTGTGCGTGCATGCGCGTGCGCGCGAGAGAGAGAGCGCCGCCGCGAGCCGCCCAGTCCGGGCTCAGCGCGCGGCGCTCGTTTCCTCAGGTTTCGAGAAAGCGCCCCAGACGCTAAGGGGGCGCGGGGAGCGAGCTTTCCAAAGGCATGGCTGGGGCAGAGGAAAGGCAGCGCTGTTTCGCCAGGCTTGTTGGATTTGTCCGCGGGGGTGGGGGAGGTCGAGGAGATCGCGGATTTCTGTAGGGTTGCTGTGGTGACTGTGTGATGTGGCGGGGTGGGTCAGCTGGCCCGTGCCAGAGACTCCGGCTTCCCGAGGGAAGAGGCGGCAGCACTCAATTATAGCCGCTGGGTCACATTGGCCTTTTTAATTTTGTGCCGTTTTTGCAAAAACAGCAAGTCTTCCAGGCTGGCGGTGCTCTGCTGCCCCCCAGCGATTATTTACACGAACAGCAGCCTGCGCTTGAGGAGGACGATGAATCGGATTAATTTGGTTGTCTCCTCTTCTTTAAACAGTAAGGACGGAACGAAAGGTGTCATTTGCAGGGTGCGCTGGAAGGGACGCAAGTCCTAATTTAACTACGGGTGTGTTTTGCATGGGCTATCTTACAACGACTGACATTCTCTTAAATACTCATCTAATATATTGGGAGTTTTTCTGTATGGAAGATCCCTTCCTTGTGGAATTAGTTTCAAGGGTGCATGCTTTTATGAGCAGGAGGCTGGAGTAAATAGCCCGTAAGTCTCATTCATTTCTACTTCTCTGCTTTAACATATATTGTTATAATTTCTTACTCTCTGATAGTGAACTCAAATATCCTTGTGCAGGGAGGTATCAGGGTCCTGGGGAAACTTGGAGGGTTGCAGAAATAAACCTTTTAGAAAACAGAACAAAGGGATGCCTTTCAACTGACAACAACACAGTGAGGAGTCAGCATTCCCCAAAAAGGTCAGCCTGAGCACTGAATGTAAAGCGGGAATGCAACCTCAATCAATCCCACTTCAAGCCATTTCCAGCACAGGGATGGGTTCACACGACCATTTCATTAAAACCAACTTAACTTAAGCAGCATGCAGATGTGCAGTTCTGGTCTTGTGAATAATCTGAGGTGGGTTAAAGTTGCTCTAAAAATCTTTATCAATCAATCAATCAATCCAGTTGGTGAAGGGATCCAAGCGAGAAGTCCTGAAGCCTCCCAAACTTGGGTCAGGCAATGAACTGGGTACATCAGTAGATTTATTCATCCATCCATTCATCCTGAGTCTAATTTTTTCCATGCTGAATGCAAGCAGACCCCTTGAATGGACCTCAGTGGCCCAGTGTTTGCTTCAGCGTGCTTTCCCCTGCCACAGCTGGGCACTACTTAGTTAAACTCTCTTAAAAATCTGGGTGCGTTGAGCTTGGACTTTGGATGTACAGTGAATGTGTGCAAGATCAACTCCAAATTGAAATCATGTGGAGTTTGCATATCAGAGCAATGACTGTAACAAACTGACTAGCCCTGGGGAAGGGAGAAGGAAGTTGCTGTGAATGAACCTGAGTTGGGAAAACTTTGAAAAAAGTGGTTGTGTAAATTTGTCCTTGAATTCTTGTAACATTCTTCAGCCTCACCTGAGTCACTGATATCCAGATCAAATACACATTCGCACATCAAATACACATTCATGCACAGAGGACTAGAGGGGGGTTGTAGAGTCTTGCTGTATGGCAGCATTTCCCACCCTGATGTCCGTTATACATTTTGGATTTTAACTCCCATCAAACCCAGCCATCATGGTCAAAGATCAGGAATGTGGGAGCTGCAATCCAAACCATCCAAAGCTAGCTGCTAGATAGCAGTGACTACATGAATTACAAGCCAAATTGAGATATTTCAATGTGCTATGTGAAAATGCATCCTGACATGTATATGTGGTTGGTTTGTGGCAGAAGGGTTATGTTGTATGCCTGTGCATAGGTTGGAACAGTTTTGCCTTTACTCTCAACTTTGTTTGGACCATGTTTGCTAATCTGGAAGAGGAAATAGGTAGTACGAATGTTCCTGCTTTAATGCAGGAGGTTAGGCCAGAATGCCAAAAACCCTTTCATTGTGTGATGTACTTCAAATGCTTTTTATATGGAGATAGCCCTGTCCTACGCATGCTTACTCAGGAGTCAGCCAATTTCAGTGGGGTGTGGTGCAAATCGATATAGGAGTATGTAATATGGCTTTGTCTAGGCTGCATCCCTGTGTGACATTAGCAAGCTCTATGCCACAGTTTAGTACAGCCAGGAGTTTGCCTTCCAAACGTACAACTGTCCAACAGTAAATGGGGAAATTTGGCATCCATTATTACCTTGCCATTGGACGGTGTTGCATTAAGCCAGTAAGGCTGGTATATCACCCTGGAACCTCAGGACCTGATATTATCATCTTGCAGTGAGGTTATCTTGTAATGACATAATACATGAATGCAACAAATGGTCATGCCAAGGACATGCCAAGGGTGAAACACTTCATGATTTCAACAACATGAAACATATTTCTCTCCCCTATGTGGATAAGACCTGAGACTGCAAATGAATATTTCACCCCAGTCAAGGATGCCGCTCCAGAAAAGAAGAGACCATTACTTAGAGAATACATTACTTGGTGGCTTGCAATCTTAGAATGCAAACTCTTTTGAAGTGCTAATTCAGAGCACCCTCAGTCCATATTCCAAATTAATTAATAGGCTTTTGCATGGTTAGGTGACCTGGTGCCATCCAAGTGTTCTGAACTACAACTTCCATCAGCCCCAGGCAACATGGCCAAGAGTTGAAGATTCCTGGAGTCGTAATTTAAAACATCTGGGGAGCACCAGGTTGCAACTGCTTAGCTGTGACATGGAACAGCAGCACCAAGAATCAAAGAATCAACATACACAGATGTTTAGAGGTACATTAAAAGGTGGCGGAACATCTCTGTGCATGGCAGGTATATGTTTCTCCTCCTATCAGAGGTGTCAGTAGAGGTACCTTTGTTCAACCCTTTGGGCATTCCAGCGCAGCTCAGTGTCCATACAACATGTAAAGCTGCTTCAAATGATAGGCTGACATAGCAACTCACAAGTAGACCTATAAGAAGAGTTAAATGGCCCTTAAATGACAAC